ATATACATATATACACACACATATGGAGTCTCTCTATACTCTGGAAGTCAGCTGGCTAAGCGGGTGAGATGGCTGGAGTCTCCATGGTGGCTCCTCTTGGTGGCAGTCAGGCAAGGAAAGTTTCTGGGTTCTTTCACATTGTGTGTTACTGTTCTTTTTGGCCTCCAAAGGCAGATGGTCAGCTCTGACCCTTAGAGTAAGGGTAAATAAGGGTGGGGTGAAACATTCTTCTAGGTCGTATAACCCTGGTGTGTCCACTTGCTGTACAGAGGTAACTCGTGGTTGCTGTGAAGCCGAACACTGTGACACTGATTAGTCAAATGCGAGAATGGTTACCCATGGTGGACAGTGTTTGGTGAAGATCTCTGATTAAACAAACTTAATCATCCATGGGATAGTCAGTACTCTTCTCCACTACCACAACTCAAAGGCATCAATTCTTCTTCTGTCATCCTTAGTTATTGTCCAGCTCTCTATGCATGGCACGTAATTGTGAAGATCATGACCTGGATCAGGCTCACCTTAGTCTCTAGACTAATATCATTGCTTCTTAGTACTCTGAAGAGTTCCCTGGCAGATGATTTTCCCCATGAAATTCATCTTTTTATTACAAGCTGGATTTAGAAGAAGTTGTGGCACTAGAGACATTATCGCCAATATCTGATATTGGCAGAAAACAAAGGGTTCCAGAACAATGTCTATCTGTGTTTCATTGACTGTGCAAAGGCATTTGACTGTGTGGATTACAACAAATTGTGGCTAACCTTGAGGGGAATTGGAATTCCAGAACACTTGATTGTACTCATGCGAAACTTATACTCAGACCAGCAAGCAGACCTCAGAACAGAGCAAGGAAACACTACATGGTTCAAAATTAGGAAAGGATTGCATCAGGAATGTGTCCTGTCTCCAACCTTTTCAATCTATATTCAGGACAAGTGATTTGGGAGCTGGATTTAATGAGGAAGAATGTGGCATCAGGACTGGAAGGAAGATTCAGCCACAAACCTACATTATGTAGAGGATACAACCTTGATTCTGTGGAGGACCTGAAGTACTTCCTGCAGAATGTCAAGGACTGTAGTCTTCAAAACGGATTGAAACTCAACATCAGGAAGACAAAAATTCTCATCACTGAGCCAATTGGCAGTACCACGATAGATGAAGAAGAGACTGATGTTGTTAACAATTATAGCTTGCTCACCACCAGCAGTCAGGAAACCAAAACAAATTGCACTGGAAAACATGGATAGTTAATTATATAAAGTACAGCATGTATGAGGGATTGTGCAGTACACTATGTGCATGGATAAAGTGGAGTGTGTGTGGGTACATGTAAATCCATTTTCTTTTAAAGTGAAGGGAGTTTTTTTTAAATGTACAATATAAATGAAGACTGAATATTGTAGATCTCTGTGTAATTTTCCAACTGGCCAGTACTTGATTGCAAGTACTACAAAGGAATATCTACCCTGAAGATAAGCTTGTCAAAAATAAGAGTCTGAAAAAAAAATAAAATAAAATGAAAAATTTTTAAAAAATAGAGTCTGTTAGTGTATGTTGGGGCTCAGCCCAGCGGAAAGATTACACTCCACCCTGAGAAGATTTGTAATCACTCTGATGAGATTTGAATGTTTTTTTAATGTTTTTATTGGTTTTAATATAATAATTCCTTTATATTATGTTTCATTCATATACATAGTTTTATGCAATCCTTCATTTACATTGTGTTTCATACAATCATTTGTATACATTCTATTTTACGTTACTTTTTATTTGGTTTGCTAACCAAGTTTATATACATTGTGTTTTACACTATTCTACATTCACAGGGTTGAGCTTAAGGGTAAAACCACAGGGCTGCCCCCCTTGGAGGGTGGAGGGAGAGGGGGGGAAAATGGGAAGGATTGGCTAAAAGACAGAGTAATGATGGGCAAGGTCCAATGGTGATTGATTTTATAAAACATAATACATGAGAATGCTTGTAGGAGATTTGAATTTGAATGGATTTGTAGACCCACCTTGGTTGGACTTTTCAAGAAGAGATTCATATTCAGATGAAGGACAAGCAGGAAAGTAGAGAAGGAAAAATTAAAATAGAAAAGGAAAAGACTGTCTTTTTAAAACTGTAACAGCTGTTTGACTCTGAGGCAGGGTAAAGTTGGTGCCCAACAGAACCCACTTCCAGGACTTGAGGCTGGAGACATCTGGTGAGGACACTCACTCATAGCAATCACTTAAATACACATGAGTGGAAGTGAGAGGAATTCAGCAATAGAGAAACAGGTTGAGCTTGGACACATTTCTTCGGCACTGCCCACCTAGCATGCACAGATGTGTGGAAGAGCTGGGAAGGGTGGTTAGTTTGAGGAGCAGGGAGTCACTAGGACCCCTGGCTTGTTGACTTGGCCCCATGTGGGGTCTAGAGCTGAGTGAAGGGCCAGGCAGATCTGGAAAACAGGGAGAAGTATGGACTCCTGACTTTGTGGCTGATGCTTATTTTATTCACAGATGGGGATGAGTTGACCAAAAGCCAACCAGATGAAGACAAGATGGTCTGTGCTGTGAGCTAGGGTTGATGGCTGCAACCTGATGGCTTGCTCTGAACCAAACTTTGCTTGTGAATGCAGATGCTCAAAGTTTCCAAGTTGAAAAGATTCTTCAGCAAAAAGGATATGCTTGTTCCCTCAGAGTCCAGGTTTGGCGGTTGCTGCTATTGTTAGGGGCCATCAATTCAAGTACAACTCATAGCAACCCTATGAACAACAGATCTGAACCCTATCCTTTGCTGTGCCATTCTTATAATCTCTAATACACTTAAACTCATTGCAGCAGTCACTGTGTCAATCCACCTGGTTGAGGATCTTCCTCTTTCACCATCCCTCTCTACCTTCCCAAGCATGATGTCCCTCTCCAATGAATAGTCTCTCCTAGCAACGTGCCCAAAGTGTGTGAAGTGAAGTTTAATACTTTTTGCTCCAAGGAGCACTCAGGCTGCATCTTTTCTAAGACATATCTATTCTTCTGATATTCCATGGAATATTCAGTACTCTTCTCCAACACCACCATTCAAAGGCATCAATTCTTTTTCTGTCATCCTTATTCTAACTGGTTTGGTAAGGGATGGACAAATCAGAGATTGGTTATGTAGAAGGAATGTATTAAGTCATGAGGCCTGAAGTAGCTGGCTTTCATGCTTTCAGGAATGTAGTCATTAATAAGATGATTGTTGCTACTGTGTACCATCAAGTAGCTGGTGGATTCAAACTGCATGCATTCAGGGTTGCAGTGCAGTTTCTTACCACTTATGCCATAAGAGCTCCCTAGTAAGATGGTTTTAAGGGGTGAAGAGGAGGAGTGCCCCGAGTCACTTTCAACTTTCAGAGTCTAGCCAGCAACGGCTCTCTTCTAGAGGACTCAGTGTTCAGTGCACCAGCTGAAGGACCTCGGGAGAACACCACCTGCACCACTATCATGCCCAACTTCTCCAGTAACTGGAAAATCATCTGGTCAGAAAACTTCAAGGATTTCCTCAAAGTGCTGGGGATGAACATGATGCTGAGGAAGATCCCTGTGGTTGCAGCCACAAACTGTTTGATAGAGATCAAACAGGAAGGAGACACTTTCTACATCAAAACCTTTACCACCCGGAGCTCTGGTGACCTAGCGGCAAGAAGCTGCACTGCAATCCCAAAGGTACGCAGTTTGAATCCACCAGGTGCTCTGCTGGAGAAAGAGGGACAATCGCCTTCTGTGCCAGTTGGATCAGATTAGATAGTACACAACAAGAAACAAACAAACAAAAACAAACCCCAAAACCTCTACCACAGTGTGAAAAACAGATTAACTTCAAGATCGAGGAGGAGTTTGAGGAGCCAACTGTGGATAGGAGATCCTATAAGGCCTTGGTGATGAGGGAGAATGAGAACAAACTGGTGTGTGAGCAGAGACTTCACAAGGCAGAGGGCCTCAGGGCCTCCTGGATCAAAGAATTGACCTTTGGCAGCTCAGCCTAACCAAGACGGAGAACCACATATGTGCACCAGAGTCTGTGTGCAGAATGAGTGACTGTGGGTCCACACTGCCCAAGTCCACCAGCAGCCCAAGCTCAATGCCCGGCTCCCACTCCCTCTCACTTTCTCCTAAGCTAGCTGTGCCCTCACCTTGTCACTCTGGGAGTCACTAGGACACCTTCTGCAGAGACTCTGACTTCTTTTTCTTTTACCTCTTATCTCATCCTCACACCACCAATGAGGGGTGGATTGATGGCAAGAGCCCTCAGATCACTCATTCTAGAATAGTCCCAGATGATTCTTCCTTCCCAAAGTCAGCAACCCTAGCCCCAAACAACCCCAAAATAGGGTTTCCCCTCTCTCTCCCTCTCTGAGGATATCCAGGGGCCATATTGGACAAGACTGCTCTTACGGCTTCCACTCTTGGTCCCTGTAGCCTATACACTCTAGAATATTTATCTGTTAATTTTATTAAAATGTTTTAAAAAATGATAGTAAGCATAGTGGAGTGTACTTGGGATGGTGGGAGGGGTGTGGGGGGGATTGTATACCAAAGAAAGAATTTTTCTTTTTCTTTTCAAAGAGAGGAGCAAACTGGGCGGAGGGAGGCGGGCGGGGAGGCCTGGGCAGGGAGAAAAGTACAACAATGAATTAATGGAAATCCAAAACCTCTGTAAATGTTCATTAAATTATTAAAATTAAAAAATATAAAAGAGTATTGAGCATAAAAAACAAAACAAAACAAAAAAATGATAGTAAGGGAGAAAAAAAACCCCACAATATACATTAACAAAATATAATGTGAATGAAAGATTGTATAAAACACAATGTACATGCATGAAACACAATGTATATGAATGATAAAAAATATTAATTTTGACAAGTGGGCATGAGGAGAAATAAAATGAGTGCAGAGGAATTCATTAATTGAGAGGCTTTAGGCTAGATTATCTAGATTCAAGTCTTGGCTTCATGAATGCATAGCTATGGAACATGGGACAAATCACATAACTTGCCTAAGCTTCAGTTTTCTCACCTAAAAAATGGGATAACCAAAGTTCTACATGAGACAATTCACAGAAAGCACTTCCCTCACTGTTTGGAAAGGTAAACATACAACACACATTATCCTTTATTTACATAAATTGTGTTACCCAGGGTGCTGAAGAAACTATAAGAACCATAAACCATAACAAGAGCCTGAGAAGGTTTTAAATAAGGAATAATACCTGAGTTGAGTGCTAAGGAAGAGTAACTCAAATATCCCCCACATTTGCCAACTCTCAGATCAAACTCTCACTTCAGTGCCCAAATCACAGTGCACCTAATTTAAGCCATGATCTTTTCAATTACTTCCTATGCATCACTGTAAAAAGAGCAAGGGCCACAGGAAAAGTGCTATATCTTACCTTTACAAACTGCACAGGGAGGAACTGTCCCCATTCACCATATCAATAACAAAATCAATTCCCATGAGTTCAGACATGTCCCTCACATTCCCATGCCTCTTTCTACTCATCTCAACAAATCTTACTGTTTTGCTGTGTCCAAAATTCTAAATGATCACTTATAGACCACACATAACCTTATTGGGAAAGTCAAAAGGTTATAATTCAGATAAATAACAGAATACAGTCAAGACAGCTCCCAAAATGTCCATGCAAGTGCCTCAGCATCAAGCCTCAGGGCTCCAAGTGTTCCCAAGTTGTCAGTCTTGCCAGTATTTGTTTCTCACACCTAATCACCCAACAAATACAAGATACTTTAGTATCTTGAATTCTTCCCTGTGCTTTGGCTTCTCTGC